GAGAGAGTCAAGTGGTTAATTATAAGATGCGTGGAACTGAGAGGAATAGATGGAAAGATATATTGTGAATATCAACAATAAACTTTATAAATCGGTTATGATTTGATCGATCAACACGAATGACTTATTAATATATAACTCTTCCCAGCTTTGATCACAGAGTTACAACAGCATCGCATAAGACCACATTGACTCTAATCTCTAAAATATTCTGTAAAACGCCCTCGCAATTGTCTTGACTTTCAGTTTATAAACATTTTCAAAAAAGAAAGTGTTGATTCTTCTTCTTTTTACATTGCCAGTGTTTATTGTGTATAAAGGAAAAAACAGCCATTTGTCGACATGAATAGGCCTACTCTAGGACACTGGAAGCAACACATGGAGCAGCAGACTCTACAACAATGAGCTTACTCTCCGTTTTTTTTCTCTGTGATTGCAGTCTTTCGCCACATTGTGAAAGCGAGTGGAAAAGCACACGAATCCTTAAACAGTAGCAATGACGTACTCCCACAGGCAAAAAAAAAAAAAAAAAAAAAAAAAAAAAAAAACATTTTCCCATTTTCCCTCACACTCCAGATACACATTAAATAAAAAAAAAACTTTCCTTTTCACACTTAGACAAATCACTTGCCTGACTAGAACGCTGTAGTTTCTCTCTTTATAAGCCAAATACACTCGTTCTTAAGCATACACACTTCTCTCATACGGCAACATGTATCGCACTGTAACAACACTTTACCTGCGTTTAATAGACAGTATTAGTTATATACATAAAGATAACACTAACTGTTGTAACGGTATACTTCAAGTGTTTTCAGATAATCTGTATTTACAATAAAGATACATATTTATCTTTTTGTATATAGACATATATTAAACTCTGATAAAACTGAGATTAACTGATATTCAATATATATATATATTCATATATTCTATAAAGTTGCAAGTTCATAAACTTTACAGGGATCAACAAACCTAAACTCAATCGAGTCAGCGGTGTGTTCAAAAAAGAAAGAAAGAAAGAAAGAAAGAAAAAAAAAATGGCGATAGGGAAAGATTGACCTCGACTTTTTTTCCAAAATCAGTCATGGATCTGACAGGAGATCGTAATCGCCTCCGGAAGAAAGAGACAGACTCTTATAAGGGGAAGGAGAGCTTAGCCATTTTCCCGTGAGAAAAAAAAAAAAAATTCTCACTGTCTTAGTCACTTCCTCCCCGCTACAAATTATATACAATAGACTCTGGATAAAATTCGGTGATTTTTTTTCTGTTTCACTAATACTGGCATATATTTATTTTTTTTTAGAAAAAAAAATCTTTCTCTCAAAAAATCGACTTTCAAGAAAAATAGAAATCTGACAACATTTCCTATAAGAAAATAGAATACGAAATAATAAATAAACACAGTGCGCCATTAATCTTCTTTGGTTGAATACGCAGAACAGAAGCCAACAAGGATGACTTCATTCTTGAACAAGGAAGCTTAGAAAAACTCCCAAAATGACGAAATTTTACTCACATGTCACATCAAAGTGTGTGGAGAGCATTGTCACTTTTCCCTTCACGGTCGAAATATATTCCAAGATCGTATGTGCATATTCGTTTTTTTTTTCAGCATTAAGAAGATTTTACATTGCATCTCACCATACATATGGCATGTGTTCTTATATCATGTGTATAGATCTTCACATACTCGAACATCCAAGGAAAATGACGAAAACGATTCGGGAATAACGAGAAACAAGCCTACGGGAACAAAACCCACGTTTCACATACTGAGTATCATACGAAAGTCAGTAGCAGCAGGCATAATATTTCGTTCATTAACACTCGATCAAACCTCGTACACGGGAATCCAACTTGCCCTTAAGTGGTCATACTGAAGCGCTTACATCCATAAACGTTTTAAGTTTTTTTTTTAAGATTAATTCTCTATTTGAAAAAAAAATAAGCTGAGCTCTATGGAAACACTAGAAATACAGCAACATTGGACTGCTTTAATTCTAACGCCAATTAAGAGTTAAGAAAGTTGAAAGTCTTATCATGTAGAATTTGTGCGCATTGACATTGGTCATCACTAAGCAAGGTGGGCTTAAGTAGCCAACAAACCTGTCCTGCTAGAATTAGGAACATCGATGTAAGGAGCAGAATTCAGTGTGAATGTAAAATAGACGCGATAGAATTTGACATTTTTTGGGTATGACTAAATTTCGAAGAATTTAAGTGTATTCAAGCCAAAGGAAAGTTTAGAAAGTCCACACCGATGTTTCCTAATCGAAAACCTTACTTTTACTGATTAGAAATTATGTGGTAATTTACGTTACGAAAGCCAATTGCACTCACACGCCAATTGGAAACCAATTTCCGTGTGAAGTTTTGATTACAGACTACCAACAGAGCCGCCAGTACATGGCATGAAGCTCCTTGACCAAAAGAACCAAACTTTCCAGAGCCACTTAAGTGAACTCTCCAAAGAAGAGCTGCGCGCGGGACCTGAGAAGACCCGCGGCCTCACAAACTTCTCACAACAATATAGCCACTTAAAGTCAGGCCACGACTGAACACCTCCAAGCGCACGGCCACAGTCACCTCTCGCTGAACACAGCATACGCCACCCAGTGACCTATTGCACCATTTGCACGAGATTCGGGCCACGAAAAAGTTCCAAGATGCGGCGGCACACTTTCACAACGGCCACTTTTTTTGAGGTCAGCTCAGTGGCACTCATTCGTCTAATCATGCATGAGATTTTCAGCAATTACCGCGGTAACCAGTTTCCTCGAATACTCATGTAAAAAAGAACATTTGCCTCGTGTTCATGGACACTCATTTCCTAGTCACGATGCCACGCCCTCATTCGAATCATGAACTAGCTCTTACTCCCTTTCAGAACTCATATTATTTCTTTCAAGATGATTAGGAAAATCACTTTCTCTCCTGACCTATTGTTGTTATTATATCGTGTTACATATTTAAATTTCTGCGCGATCATGGTGATCAAAGGATGATATCCAATAATGACTTAACTTATGCATGTCATATAGAGTACTTTATAATCTTCAGTGTCTATTAATCATAATCATTAATCACGTTAATTCAGTCTCATGAACTAGCCATGGAGTGGCGAAGCTTCAGTAGTTAAATTTTTGTTCATTCCAATACATGGAAAAGGTGGTTATGTACGAATAACTGATATCAATATCAGGCATTCCATTTCAACAAGAGGCCAGGACGCAATTATTCATGTGAGTTGAAACATACAGTATGTACTCCCTTTTTTGACTGAAAAATCACGAGTATTTATCTATTTGAAGTACGACATTTCTATAAAAAGAATATTCGTTTACGTAAGAACAATTTCCATTCATCAAATCTCAAGTACTCATTCTTTTTCACAGACGATGAAAGATCTAGACCCATGTATTCTTTCTTGTTGATTCATTGAGAGAAAATCTTTAAGCTTTATGACAGTATAATCTTGACATCACAGTCAGAAAAGCCTGGCCCCATATCCTCATCAGAAGGAAAGAGAAGAAAGGGGCTACGGAGGCAAAAAATGTACAAATCTAGGCTCTCGTATATACTTCTATCAGGAGAGAAAACGTTAGAAATGTGTAAACGTGTTTATCCAGCATACCTCTCGACTTTCGGACAGCATGCTCATGGCACCGCATCCTCATGACTCCCATACCTGCCACCAGCTGACGCGCTTTGCCTCACTCGCACCGGAACAGCTAATGCCGAGGGACCTAGTGTCGAAGGACTATCCACATGCACACTGACGAAGGCCTGTGTTGGGCACAGTTGCGGAAGCACCAGGCGACGAAGAGAGAGTCAAGAAGGAGGTCGAATTTCAGTTTGATGAGGTCGTGTTTTTTCTGTTTGTTTCTTTCTTTTTCTTAATTTAGCGACACTGAGTAATTTTCTTCTGTCAAAGCACGTTGCTGTGGGATAACACGTACCAAAGTTCCTTCAGGTCAGAGTTTACGTGTCATATCTATTTCCAAAGGGACCTCGTTCGTGTGAGTAAAGAAATCTGTTTTTTCTGGAAGCAGTTGACCTCCAGCGAAAAGTTTTCACATATGCGAAAAAAGTAAGCACCAGGAAAAAATAGATTATCCTTCATCAGTCGTATTTTTCAGTTTTGGAAAATCACTAAGACCTACAAAGAATAATAATAAAACAACCCGAGGATATTCCCATCTCGAGCAGTACAATCGACGATAAAAAAGAAAAAAACTATAAACACTTTATATTGCAAATTTGTAAAACAATAGATTACTTTTTATAAAAAACAGCTTTCATCTTCACATCACGCTAGGATCACGCAGACACCAGCACAGCAGGTCGCGGGACACACTCACTGTAGACGCAGGGCTTAAACGGACGTCTTCGGAAGGCGGGCTGCCGTCGAGACAAGGAGAGTCCCATCTTCAACAGCTGCGGCCCAGTCCTCCTTTTAGAAGACGGTCGAAATGACGCATTTCCTCTCATTAGACGCCGCTTCTCTCTCGCTCTCGTAGCCTCTGGTCTTCAGTGACTCGCCGTCCCGCCCCTGCTGCGTGCTGTGGTGTCATACAGCCACAGGCACGGGCGTCTGCGTGGTCCTAGCGTGGGCGCGTCCCTATGGGGGCCTGATGGCCTCTTTCAAGCCGGACACGGATCCCAGGAAGGACGCCCCCATGGAGTTCTCCTTCGCCGACCGCAGCGTCCGGAGGAACGTCTCCCGAAAATCCTTCGAGAAGGTGCAGTAGATGTAGAAGGTGACGGCGAAGTTGGTCACCTCCAGCACGTTGGCGATCGCGCGGAAAATCTGCAAAGTACAAGATACATATGAGTACATTCAAGTAAATCCAAACTATTAATAATCATCCTAATACTACTATTAGTTTTTTCTTTTCAAAATCCCTTCCACGGATAGATACTGCCGCTTTTGAATCAACAAGCTCTACATAAATTGAACTGGATATACTGACCAAACACAGAAACAACAAACAACCTATCCACCAGATGCGACCCCAACCAGCGCTTTGACCTCGACCACGTTAATGATGTTTGATCCCTGATAAACATACATTTTTTTCCCCTTTTTAATTTTTTTTTCCAAAGGGACAAAGAGACCTTTTTCCCCCGAATCAACGAAACAAATCCCACGATAAACCAACCTCGAAAGCGAGCGAGTTCTTCCACGGGCGGTGTATGGTGACGGAAAGGACGATCATGGGCGTCATGCACACGAAGAAGAGGGTGGAGGTCCCGCCAAGGAGGTACATGAGGCGCGATTCCTCAGCGTACTGTCGTCGCTGCTCACCGCTCACCTGTGGCGAAGAGGGGGGGCGGGTTAGAGGGGCGTCGAAGGAACATCAAAGGGGGATGAACAGGTAGATAGATTGATCAATAAACAAGTAAACAAAAAATAGATGAAAATGAAAATCAAAAGTGAACATATGAAGAGATATAAAGATGAATAGTTGTCATAAATAGGGAGATAGATTAATAAATAAACAAACAAACAGATTAATGAAATAGATGAAAATGAAAATCAATACGTGAACCTATGAAGAAATAAACAGATAAATAGATAAGTCAATGAATACACGAACTAACAGAAAAATAGACAAAATGACGAATGAAAAAGAAAATCAAAGAAAACATAAAGAAACTGTGGATCAAAGTGACGAAATTCAGTCATCCATAAACAAACTGATCAGGACACGTAGACACATTCCATTGATTTCAACACTAGACTCTCGTTGGAGCTTTTAAACACTTTCCTACGCGTGTCAGGACAATGGAGCCAAATGGATGGAGCTCTTTTGTCCGTACTTGAAACTGGTGGAAATACAGACGTCAAATAGGACATAAAGACTCTTAGAACTTTTTGAAATGTTTATTGCACTGGCACGGAGCTCCTTTGTTTGAGGTTATAATTTCAATGGATCCTAAGCTCTTTGTCCGTGTCTTTGTCACCTTCTTGTCCGTGTGAGCGAAAAGTTTTCCATCGGGAAAATAGCAACGATATTGCTCATTCCTCAGACATGCGATAATTCTCAGTTCCTCAGGTAACGAGGACCAACGCAGGCAGAGCTTGAAGAAGAGTCCAGGATCCACTTGTACACTTGGAACCAGATGGAATCCACCAGCCACTCGTTCCTCTCCTTCCTGTGTATCAGCTCTCCTGTGGGATGACGCGGCGGTGAAGAGGAGCTTCAGTAAGTGGTCTAATGGTCGTTATAGTTGGTTGAGATAAGGGGGTGGGGGTGTAGTTTGAGTAGGAGGATACGAGGTATTGAAGAGGGTAAGGGTAGTGTTGGTTTAAGAGACGGGGAGAGGAGTTTAATTGGTTAGTTTAAGAGTTATTGAAGAAATAGTAGTAGGTCATAGTTTAAATATAGTATGAGAGTTATTGAAGAAATCGTAGTAGGTAATAGTTTAAATATAGTATGTGTTGAAGAAATCGTTGTAGTTAATAGTTTGAATATATTATAAGTTATTGAAAAATTATAATAGGTAAGTTTTATTATGGGATGAGGAATCTAAGTATAAGGTTAAGATTTATTAAAGAAACGATTGCAACGGTAGTATTTTTTTTAATAGACGGAGAGGAGTTTAAAGTATGAGGGAACAAGTTATTTTAGAAATCAAACAAATAGTAATTGTAATTTAAGACACGGAGGATCTTAAGTATGAGGGTGCGAGTTAGTGAAGAAATGATAGCGATAGTAGTGGTAGTTTAATAGACGGAGATAGTAGTTTCAGAATAAGAGGTATTGTAAGAAATGATAACCATATAACAATAGAACGAAAGAAATTCTTTTATATTAAGTAGCAGTAGTGAAAGAGAGGGTAGTTCAAGCATTAGAATACAAGTTTATTGAAGAAATGTAAACACTGGATCAAAAGTGAAGCCTATCTTTTCGATATTAAAGAATAATAATTAAATAGACGGGGAGATTAATTAAAGTAATTCGGGTAAGAATGATTAAAGTATTGACTGTAATATATTTCTATTATTTAGTAGTAGCAGTTTGAGAGACGTTGAGAGTAGTTTCAGTAATTAAGATAATATTTAATGAAGAAATTATAAGAAAAGAACTTTTCTTTTTTTTCTGATAGTACCATTAGTGTACATCGGAAAGATTATCAGTTCAGGTGATAAAATGCAGAAGATAATACTTTGCGCAGAAACGGCAATAAAGTTATATGAGGTTAAAAGACCATCTCATGCTCGTCATATCTTGTCCTCCTCATTGTAAAACAGCTGATGAGGCTCAATAGCTCTTCACGCTGATAAGAATACTGTGTTTGCTTTTCTTATCAGGAATCCACATGACCTGGTTTTATATATATCACTTCTTTATCTTTCGTTCAATCCGGTAATAATATTAATAATGAGAGACAGCTTTTGAACTAAATTAATAAGACTTTATTCCTAAATATGTTTATATGTGTGTTTGGGGGGGTGGGGTGTATGTATGTATATACATAGACATACACATTGGTTGATAGGTCTCAAATAAATTGTTTTATGAGAATATTAATTTACAGTCTGGTTGATTAAACCCATTTAAACAGTGACTTAAAAACCGGATATCAAAGCTACACACCAAGCAAAATGAACTTACTATTAACACCCACAAAGCCCCACATATCCCCCCCCATCTCCCCACAACCCCTCCATTTTCACACACACACACACACACACACACACAACAACAAAAAAAAAAAAAAAAAAAAAAATCCCCAAAAATCCACACCTACCTCGATCATCAACACAGGTCGCGACGTTGGCAATGAAGATGTAGGGACAGTAGAGCAGGAATCCCGCCAGGGGGATGACGGCCACCGTGACGTAAGCTCTCTTGGCTCCGCACAGGTTCCTCGCCTGAGCTGGATAACACACGGAGATGAACCTTTCCACAGTCAGCGCCAGAAGCATCACCACGCGATCCCTGGGCAGGAGAGGAGAGAGAGAGAGAATATGAGATAGATAGATAGATAGAGAGAGAGAGAGAGAGGGAGAGAGGGAAGAAGAGAGAGAGAGAGAGAGAGAGAGAGAAGAGAGGAGAGGAGGGGAACGGAATGTGTAATGCGTTGTGGTTATTTGGTAAACAGTGGTAAGGGTTTTTTATGGGGGGGAAGTGTCGACGAGTGTATTAGAGAGGGGGTGTGGGGGGATGGGTGTTTTGAAGGGGAGGGGGTTGGAGATAGAGAGGAGGGGAGAGGGAGAGAGAGATACACAGGCAGACACACACACACAGACAGAGAGAGAGAGAGAGAGGATATGAGATAGAGATAGATAGATAGATAGAGAGAGAGAGAGAGAGGAGAGAGAGAGAGAGAGAGAGAGAGAGAGAGAGAGAGAGGAAGAGAGAGAGAATATGAGACAGAGATAGATAGAGAGAAGAAATATGAGATAGATAGATAATATATATAAGATTAAATTATAAAAATAACAAACAGACCAAAGAATGTGTGTGCATATACATACTTACACGCACACACACACACACACACACACACACACACACACACACACACACACACACACACACACACACACACACACACACACACACACACACACACACACACACACACACACACACACACACACCAACACACACATATATATATTAATAACTATATATATAATATATATATTATATATTAATAATATATAATATATATATTAATTATATATATATAATATATATATATATATATATATATATATATATATATATCTATATATATATACATATTAACACACATAGATATATCTCAAAAAGACATTTGGTAACATATTAGCAGAGACATCCTGTACGAATATTCACGATGGTTTGAGAAGATAAAGCCGTCGCGAGTGATTATATAATACAGATAACAGTTAAGATAACACTCTGCAGAATAATTCAGTGAAAAAGAAAGAAAAAAAAGAAAAGGCAATTAAAGAACGTAATCAACTGGATCAAAGTTTCAATTTTCTTTTTTCTTCTTCTTCTTCTTTAATCGATATGAAATCATAATAATTGGGGTATAAATTCAAATAAAAAAGAAGAAGGACACTGATAATGAAGAAAAAGAAAACACGTTAAGACAGTTGTACAATTTGTGTATCAGTAAAATGAATAGAAAAGCGCTTCTCTTATCAGTGTCAGATCTAGATTACGATCCGTTCATGCATAATTCATGTAAAAAAAGAAGAAGAAAAAAAAAAGAATTAAGATAAGAGAAAGAAAAAAAATAATAAAATGAATAAATAAAAATGGCGACCTAGTAAACGCTTTCATATTTTCAGTGTCTGTTGGTCTATACGGCTATCAAGTTCTTATCTCATTCCCTTTTTTTCAATTCCGTTAGACTTTATTGTGTCATTTCATTTTTGTCATTTCGTTTACTCATTTTCTACTTTTTCTCTCTTTTGATTTCCTCGATTCATTTTTTTTTCTTTTTCTTTTTTTTTCATTTTCTCATCTTATTTTCTCTTGTCATATCAGTCATCCTTCATTTTCTCATTTGATTTTGTATTCAGATCTTGTATTCAGCGCAAACCTCCGCCAAGGCAAATTGTTGTTGCAATGAAATTACTCACACTAAGAATTACCTTAAGGTCGCCTTTCTCAAGTACGCAGGTGACGTCCGTAAGTAAGAACCTTTTTAGCGGAGGTAGGCAATTATTAAAAAAAAAAAATAAAAAAAAAATCTTGGATCCGGATTACGACCAATATTTAGTGGAATCTCAGTTACGCTTTTTAATAAGAATCTGTTCATATTTTTTTGTTATTCTGCTAACAAAGGGACAAATAATAACCGCATCGATAATAAAATCTAATGGAACCTAAGTTTAAGACACCTATGATAAAATTTTCAGTCTATTCATAACGTTTTTGAGTTATCCTGTTAACAATCTAACAAACAAACTAACTAACGCGACCGAAATATAACCCTTGACGGAGGGAACAATACATCGCTGTCTTGTTTTCTCATTCTATTTTCATTTCATATTTCATGTCAGACGTTCTTCGCCATCTCATTTCATTTTCTGATTTATTCAGTTTCTCAATTAAATCAAATTAAATTAATTCAATTCAATTAAACACATAATTTAACGCGCCTCTCATTCTCTCATTTTCCCTTCCATAGCAGACGCTTTTCACTTTCTCTCGTTTCATTTTCTCTCTCTCACATCAGACAACCCTGAAAGGTGCTGTCACACTAGTACTTTTTCCGTCTTTTTTTGACAATTTTCTGAAATCATATTTGAGCGAAATGATTCTTGTCAGACGATAATGGTCGTTTCCGTCTGAAAACCTTT